TTCTCTGAGCAGAGTAGATTTTGTACATAACTACATGACCAAAATAACATCTTGAGTATATTTAACTTTCCTAGGATATTGCCATTTCCCCAGGGTTTGACATATATAGCATATGAATGCTAGACAGGATGCTACATTTTCTTCTTTTTCATCAAGGAAAAATTGTTTCTGTACCTTCTGGGAATGTGTCATCAGAGAGCATTCACTGGTCAGTTCTTTTGGAGTGTAGAGATTCATTTGCTTTCCCAAAAAGGGCCTTTAAAACCTCTGCCCTGATTGAGGCAGAGGTTTTTAAAGGCCCTTTTCTTGCAGTTCAGTGTAGGACAACTTTGATGGGCCACTTAAGCTCCAGAACTTCCAGTTGTCCAGCATGCACTAAAGCTCAAATTTTTGCTCAATTTGTCCTCCTTCCTTCCTCTTTCTTCCCAGTGTGGGTCACAAGAATATGCCTTAATAAATACCCATCACTCTACACTGGATCTTATTTCATAGTATGCTACCCAAAGATCCCCCAAAATAACAATGTGAGGTCCTGGTCTGGCTTAGTCAGTATTTTGAAAAAGTCTTTGTAAACTAGAAAGACGACACACTAAAACACCATTTATTATTAACAAAGTTTTATGTTGGAAGGGATTTAAAGTGGCTTATAAAAAAATATTCAGTATACCAAGATGAATAGCAGAAATAGGAGGTGAAAGATAAATAAGGAAAGAGTAGGATGCAGTCAGAGGTGAAGTTGAATCATAAAGTTTATGCCAGGATTTCTATATACTTTCAGAGCTTCGTAAAATATTTAGTTTGAAGACTCCTAGCAGCCAATACAGAGAGAAAAACAGGATTTGTTATTCATTTCATGGTCCATAAGGTTAAAACATTTTTCTCAGTACCCTGATCCTGTTATTCAGAATGGAGAAACATTTTCACTGTGTAAGGACATCTCAGCAGTAACTGCTATAGGACACAGTGCTCATTCACTGGATTTTTCTTCATAACACCTTTCAATATAACCTAAAGTGAAAGTAAATAAAAATAAATAAGTAAATAAATAAACCTTTAAAAATAAATTCAACAAGGTGCTAGTTAATAACACAGAGATAGCTTTTTGATTATTGCCTTAATCCTTAATCGATGAATAAATTTTAGAACCTATCCTTCCTGAGGCAAACCTCACAAATACAATTGCTCTC